ACACCCTTCAAGTGGGGCATAGTGGCATGCGAATACCTTTGATCCCAGCACTAGGGTGGCAGAGGCAGGTGGATCTCTGTGAGTTCAAGGCCAGCCTAAGCCTGGTTTACATAGTGAGTTCCAGGCTAGCTGGGGCTACAGGGAGACCCTGTCTCAAAAAAAGACCAAAAAAAACCCAACACCCTTCCCAGGCACGTAGCCACCAGGAGACACAGCTATCCTCTGGCCAATACAGCACCTGACCTAGACCACAAGTCCTGGGCCTCTACCTGGCAGTGACCCCTATTTGGAGCTAACCAGGTCACTTGGGAAGTTGGGAAGCTGCATTCAGCTAAGAGATGTGGGGCAGGAGGTAACTCCTGGCTACCTGCCTCCCTGGGCCACTCCCAGCTTCTCTGGGTGTTTCAACCTCAGCCCCTCAGACACAGCACAGCTGCTACATCCTACTGGTCTCTAACCTTCCATGGTACTAACATGAACTCCCACTGAGTCTCACTCACCTTGCCTGTTTTCTGAATATGTCCTGCCATTAATGTCATCCTGCCTTAGCCCAGACTGTCTCTGCCAGGATTGCCCTTCCTATGCTATAATCTGCTTACCTGGCAGATGCCAGAATCTTGCCTTGACAGGGCCACTCCACACATCAATTCCCAGTACATTCTCCCCACTGTTCTGTATTGTTCTTTTGAGACAGGATCTCAAGTAAGCCAGGCTGGTCTCAAACTCAGCTATGTAGCTGAGGACGACCTTGAACTCCTGATCTTCTTGCCTCCACCTCCTGAGTGCTGGGATTACAGGTGGGTACTATCATGCCAGGCTACTTCTACAGTCCTGTGGCCCTCTGTGCTCTATTTTCCCAAACTTATCCCAGATCTGGAGGTATGTTCAACAGCCCTGACAAGAACTGGAACACATTAGCAAATTTTCAAGATGCTAGTTAGCACAGATCCCACCAGGGGAACCCCTACTCCCACCCCCACAATTCAGAAAGGGTAAGGCAACTTCCCTAAGAGCAAACACAGCACTGAAGAGCTTTCTGCTGCCCTGATGTTAGACAGGCTGGACACCAGGCCTGGTAGGACAGGGCAGTCTCAGGTTCCACCAAAGGGGTTTTGGACATACCAACCAGCAAGAAAGAGTATCTTACCAGGGCACGCTGTGCCCTAGAGGTGGGTTCTGGGTGGATGGACACTGTTGCAAGAGGGGCAGGCTGGCAAGGTTTTAAATGCTATACTGAGCCAGGTGTGGTGACGCACCCTTTAATCCCAGAACTCAGGAGGCAGAGGCAGGCGGATCTCTGTGAGTTCAAGGCCACCCTGGTCTACATAGTAAGTTCCAGGACAGCTGGGGCTACAGAGAGACCCTGTCTCAAAAAGACCAAAAATAAATAAATAAATAGATAAATAAAAAAATAAATAAATGAACGCTATACTGAGACAAGGGTCCTTTATTTGGGGAATATTAGGGATTCATGGAGAGTTGGCAACTTGGGGGAGTTACAGGCTAGAAACTGGCCAATGACCACTCAAGTGCTGTTCTCTAAGGAGTGCCTGTGCTTGATGGGACCAGAAAAAGAACACATCCCAAGAGAGATGTGTATGGGTGGCAGAGTAGGTGGTGACCTGCAGAATGCTTGGCCAATTGCTATGGCAACAAAATAAGCAGAAAAGCAGTGATAGCTATGTCTAGAAAACAGCAATGTATCTGTCAAGACTCTTCCCTGACAGGAGGGGTAGGGTCTTGGGACCCTTACCTGAGATTGCAGTCACTAAGTCCTCCTGCCACCTAGCTGCAGGAGACCTTGGGATGTCAGAGCATACAGGAGATAGGTTACCTGACGGAAGGACTCCAAATGCAACTTTCCAAAAGCTACCATCTATGTGGGGGTGAGCCTCACCAATGATAACGGCTGTTTGGAATTCCCTACAATACTTTCCATACTGATAAACTCATTGGGTGGAATCATTTCTTCAGTCTGTCACATTTATTCACGACTCTCCAGAGAGAGTCACACAACACTGAAACACAGCCTGATACAGAAAGAGGCTTGCATGGGCACCCCAGGGCTCCTAGAATAACTCCTCAGTCAGCCCCAGACCAGAACTAGCTGCACTTGCCTCTTCTGCATTAAGGAACCTGCACAAGATCTGATATACCAGTCCTTAGTGCACAGCACCACCAGCTTACCCGTAATCCCTAGCACATACTCCTACTCCCTCAGTGACCTAACACCAGAGCAAGGAGGAGACAGAGCTCCTTTGGAGCTTATCTGAGGTCACCACCACCAGCAGCATTCAAACCCAGGGAGCACTGTGGGAGTGTCATCCACAGAAATAGGACTACAGGTGGCAGCCCCACCTCAGAATACATTCACAAGACTGAGGGTAAGAGGCAGGCAGGTGATGGACAGTGGAGCTCAAGGCCCTGGCTGGCTCTCCCAGCCAATTTCCAGTCTTATGACCAATGCTACTCTGGGATGACAGGAGGCAGCTGCATGGCTGACCCCTCTCTGACCCACTCCCAATCACCCTGCCTTACTTTGACCCCTCACTCCTGCCCCGGGAGTCCAGGGGTCAAGGCTCTGAGCCAGCAGCCTGGATCTGAATCTTTGCTATGGCTGTATGACCTAGGGCAAATCACTAGCCCTGTCTGTTTCTCAGTCTCTCATCTCAAGATGAAGATACGTTTACTAACTGGGGTTGCCAGGATTCACTGAGATCCTCAATATAGTGCCTGGCACACAGAAAGTGCTAAGTATTCCCTATTCATGGGATGATGACCCACCCCAACACCACTTCTAATACAGCTCAAACATGATATTCCCCTTCTCCCATCCCTTCTCCCACTGCACCTAACCTGTAGCCTGTAATTCAGACCTGCCTGGATGCCTCTCAACCTTCATCCTCTCAAGTAACCCAGCCCTCTCACCCCCAAGTCACATCTCTTTAACCCCAACCAAAAGCCCAGTAAAAACTTTGATGGCACATTTGGGTCTCAGCAATTCTCCCAAAGGCTTGTCTATGGAAATCAATGGGGATCTGGGCACATGTCCATGGCCCTACTGTATGAGAAAGAAACAACACACTTGTCTGTCAACAGGGCATCAGATGGGTAAATGAAGAAATCCAGTTGTTCTAACCATGGGCTGGAACAGCAGGTTACAATCTCATGTAGCCCCACAGACTCTATTGGAGTTTATAGATAATTCACTTTCATGATTGCTTGGGGTGGAGGATGGTATGGAGCAATCTTAAAAGGGCAAGAGCAATGCCATGTTCTGAGACTGCTGATGGCCACCAGAAATCACTGAATGGTCCACCTAAAATGGACACATCTTATGGTGGCCCCCCCCCCCTCCCCCCCCCCCCCCCCCCCCCCCACCCCCCTCCCTCTTCCAGCCAATCAGTTGACCATAGCCGCTTACAGGGGAGGGGCTAAGGGTATAAAAGCTGGGAAAACCACAAGGTTGGCCTCTCGCCATTTTGTAAGACTGTCTGGAACCACGGGATTTATGTCTGGGTGTGGACTTTCGAACACAGCCATGAAT